TATGATGAGAGTGTTATGCAATCCTATGCATTTCCTTTTTTGCTCTGGTTACCAGGAAGCTCATACATGTACATGTTTTGCTTGAACCCTAAAACTGTCACCAGCCAGGATTTCTTAATACATTCATTTTACTCTCTGCATTTTTATCTGGGCTTCTTTCTTTTGTGCTAATGGTTTTCATTCTAATACCTGTACATTTATTTTAAATTTTCTCAAAACCTTATAAATTGTTATGTATAAATTATAAACACATGCACACATATACTAAAATATATATCTCTATCTGTCCTGCCTCCTCTTCAACTCCTATGTCCTCTCCAGCAGTCTATTTTTATCATGCATCAACTAGTACATATAATTTTACTACAATTATATATATATAATTTTTTTTTACACTAAAGCACAAGCTAGCCATGTGGGCACTGGTGAAGATTCTATAGAGCAGACTTAAGAAACACATTTCTGTGATTTTCCCCAAATCCCTTTGGTTATCTTACCTTGAGTTTCTTCAGTACTCTGCAAATGAGGGATCTGCAAACTTCTGTAAAGAAGTTAAATAGTAAATATTTTAAACTTTATAGGCCCATTGCAACAACTCATCTCTACCATTTTAGTGAAATACAGAACAAAATGTTCATTACTGTATTTCAATAAAACTTTATTTACAAAAATAAAGTGACTCCCAGATTTAGCCCACAAGCCATAGGTTACTGACCCTGCCCCAAAGTCTCCCCCTCCTACTGCACCCCATCCTTGCTGAGACCTCTCAGGAAAGTGCCTCTGAGGCTCAACTCCAATGTGCATTCTCCTTGAGTCAGCCTCTTCAGGGCTGAGACCTCTCCCACCTCAAAAGGCATTTTCGTTAGAGGTTTTGTTGCTTAAACACACCCTGGGTGAGTAGGACTGTTGAGAGCCACAGCTGAAGGGGCCCCCAGCAAACTTCCAGCTGATTGGCTCACAGCAGCCCCAGCAAACTTCCAGCTGATTGGTTCACCTGGCCCCAGCAAACTTCCAGCTGCCAGCTGATTGGCTCTTCTGTGGTGATGCTCATTGGGCTGTTTCCCCGCCCTTTCAGACCACGGAGCTGCTCATTGGGGGACTCTTTTGGCTCTGCCCACGTGACCCAGCCAATCAGCCTCAAGAGCAGGAGTGGGGGTTGAGAGGCTCTGGAAGCCGGTGGTGGCAGTTGGGCTCTGAGGGAATTCCTGAAGAGCTCCTGTGGTGCTGCGTGCGTTCTGAAAATAAAGTTTGTTTCTGCTTGACAAGTGGCTCGTGAATTGTGCCCAGCCAGACTGCGGCATAGGACCTTCTCTCACATGCACCAATAGTTTTGTTTAAATATTTCTTTCAGCCACATATGGTGATTGCCACAAGGGAACTATTGGTGCAAAAAAATCATCCTCTTCTCATTCCAGATGCATCTTCATCTGCATAAGCAACAGCATTTTTAGAGCCCACAGCCATACTTGAGGTAAGAAAGCTGGTTCAGTAGAGGAATGGAAAAAGTGGTCTTCATACCAACATTGCCCAGCCACACAACCCTGGAAAGTGGCTGTACTGTGCCTTGGCTTCCTCATCTACACAACAGTGGGGTAGTCTACCTGCCCAAAGGCCAGAGTCTAGACAAGAAGATTTCTGGGAATAACTTTCTGAAATTTAGATAGGCTATTTCCCTAAGGCAGCATTTTTCAAATGGTTTAGAATACCCGGGATTCTTGTTAGGATTCCTGGACCTCAGTCTAAGCTTCTATTCAGTAGTTGCAATAGGTCTTGAAGTTCCTTCAAGTTCCCAGGTGCTGCTCCTGCTGCTACTTCTGTGGGTCCAGGGACCACACTTTGGGAATCACTGGTCTATATGATGGGCATCTCACAGTCCATTGTATAGGGAAGCAACAAAATAGGAGCCAGAGCTGGTTTTTCTGCAGTTTCTCAAAATGGGGTTCCCTCTTGAGGAGATGAGAGATCAGTTTGGTCTGTCCTCTGAGTGTCAGGCACTGGCACCATAGCTCAGCAACAGATGGAGGCAGGTGGTCAGTCTCACAAGGGCATCATGCTGGAACTTACAGGCTGGTGGGCAGCCAGATAAGGCGTCTGGGGAAGGACAGGGAAGAGGGGGCCCGCTGAGAAGTGAGAGGTAAAAATGCCATCACACAATTAATTCCTTTGTATCCACCCTTCTAGAACTTTCCCCTTCTGTAAACACTAAGTCAACACAAGCATTGACTGAAGGTTGGCCATTCATAGGTCTAGCGCCACATCATGCAGAGGAGGATGCAAGGACTGGAAGAGGTATACGGTTCGGACTGTTCTCGGGGACCCTCAGCCTGTAAGGAAGGCAAAACTCGTGTGTTCACAAAATTGACAGTCCTGGGCTGAGACAGGTAGATAATGAGACCCTGAGGTGATGTGGCAGGGAGATAGTGGGTTCCAGAGGGTGTACCCGTGGGCTGGAAAGATCTCAGGAGCTTGGAAGGATCAAAGCACAGAAAAGTGAGCAAAGCATGCAAGGAAGTCCAGTTGGGCCCGGAATATTAGCAGAGTGGCCTGGGAAGGAGCAGAGGGCACTCTCAACCTGCCTCTCTCTGTTCCCTTGTGAGCTCCCTCAAGTTACTCCCATTTCTGTGTCTCAGTTTCCTCATTTGAGAGCTGCAGTATTTAGGTTAAGTCCCGAATTTCCAAATTCCGTTCATCTTGGAGAGACTCCAGGCCAGAAGAGGGTAAATGAGCAGACTGGGCTCAGCCTCCTCCCCATCACATCTCCTACAGCCAGCAGTTCTGCTTTCTTACATTTTTACCCTCCCTGCACGGTTTTGCTTCTAGAAAGGGTTGGACAATCACTCAACAAGAAACTCCGTCAATGCTCCTTTCATTTGCACACCAGGTGGATTGAGCAGAAGAGGGAAAATAGCCAGTGAGCAATGGGGATGGACTGCCAGGTTAGCTGGGCCAGTTTCTAGAACAGAAAGGAGTTTAGAATAGTGGGGACAGGGAATAGGGAGCCATAGAAGGTTTGTGAGGGGAGGAGTGCCACAGCAGGAACAAAATCAGGCCCAGAAACCACCAGAGACTGATCTGAAAATCTCAACTGTTCAGAAGGTTTTGAGTAAAAACAATGTGTGATTTTCCCCCTTGTCAGCCTTCCCCCGAGGACACAGTACTATATGCAAAATGGGTAACTGTAAGACGAACATATTTTTCCACTGCCCTTCTCAGCCCCACGGGTCTTCAGGAAGACCTGAACTTCAAGCAAAGCCTCTTTAGTTTTCAACACCCACAGCTTCCATTCAACAATCACAAGTTTTCCACTTTGATCAAAGAGGCTGAACAGAGAGGGCCACAGGAGCGGCCTGTTCTCAGCAGCCCAAGGCAGACCACAAAAGCCCGGCTACCCACTCACTGTCCGTACCCCACCAGAGGACACAGCCTTCCCCGCAGACCAACCAGGTACACACCCCAAAAACACTGGCCCGTCTCATTCCCACCTTAGCTATCACATGAATGTGCCCAGGCGCGTCTTCCAGGCCAGCGTGGCTCCAGGGCCTCTGCTTTCCTGACTGTGAAGTGGGCCTACCGCTGACGGCTCTGATCAGGCCATAGAAGCACTTCAGCTGGTCACCTCTTAATCCCTCTTCCATCTCTGAGATTATTCTCGAGGGAGAATATCCACACCAACTCCAAAGTCCAAACTGACTCGGGTGTTCAGAGGTTAGGACTCTAAGCAAGGGCGCCCAGGGCCTTTGCTGAGGGGGTCCTGGGATGTCCTCGGGCTCTCAGAGATAGACTGCCACCAAAGACAGAGCAGAAAGGGCAGAGGCGCTACAGAGAGAATGGGCTACCTCCAGGCCCGTGGCAAAAAAAAAAAAACAACTTTCCAAAAAGCCACATCTGGCAGAGCTAGCATCTTAAATCAGTTCATATTAATGTTTTAACTGGCACGCTGAAACGGAGATCATTAGTACCCACAGCTGTGACACACTGTGGCCCAGGGAGTCTATCTCTCATCTCTGAATTCCAGACTTGGCCCAGGGGACCACTGGAGCTGTTTAACAGGAATTGTTGGACCATCTGCCAAGCCTGTTCCCATTCATGAAGCTCTTACATCATCTCGCTTGGTTTTGGAGATGACCATACTGCAGGGGCGAAAAGGAAGGACGACTTACACAAGGACACAAAGCTAAAAAGAGGAGGAGCTGAGACTGGACCAGGTCTTCAGCTTTCAGGTAGAGTGGAGCTGGAGTGAAGGGTGCAGGCCTTGGGGCCAGGCAGGCTGGGCCAGGCAGCCCAATTCTTTCCGAGATTAGCATTTCCGACTTTGAGAAAGTTTACACCCTTGCTGAGCCTCAGTTTTCCCATCTGTAAAGAAGGAATATTACCTGAATCACAGGGCAAAGGTGCAGGTGGAGTGAGGCCACTTGTAACACTCTTGGGACTGTGCCTGGGACAGGAGGTTCAATTCCAGTACACACACACACACACACACACGCATGAACACACACACAAAAAAATCGCTCAACACCCTCCAGACACATCATGGCAAACCACAAATACACACGTACCCCACAGAGCACCCCCACATTCTGCACCCTCCTTCCCTCCTCACCCTCCTCATTAATTCCTTCCCCTTTCTGTGAGTTGTAGGACAGTTCACAAAACAATTTCATCTGCAAGTTTAAAGATCCCCTAACACCCTGCTCAAAAATTTTTCTGCTCAAAAATTCCAGGTTTCCCGGCCCCTTTGGATAAATCTCTATGTTGGTGGGCTTTTTCCTTCCCACACAAAGAACGGGTAGCCTTTTTAGTTTTCAGTAGTAGCAGATATTATCACACCGGACCCCAGGAGTCCCTCTACTATAGTCTGAGGAATGCAGCCCCCTGGACCCGGCAAAGAAACTTCATCTGCAGGGGCTTCTGAGCCAAAGATCATGTGCATCGCCCCGGCAGGAAGGCGTTTGTGGCTGAGTCTAAATGAAACAGAAGTCACTTCATCATACACACACACACACACACACACACACACTAGGGGAACCGTCATTTTCCTACGCACCCTCTGACATCAGCCACCTTCTCTGCAGCGACAGTTTTCTCTGCACTCAAATTAATCTGGGCGATGAAAAATGAACCTCTCCCCCACCCTAGCTGCCGCCTTTCGCCTCACGCCCCCAGAGAAGAGTTTCTCCGCCAGGAAGCCGGTGAAGGTTTTTTTCCAAGTCACATGATCCAGGATGCAGGGGGAGAATCCTTCTTGGAACAGAGATGGGCCCTGAACCGGATCAGATGAGGAGAGATAAGGTGTGATGCGGGGCAGCCTATATAAAGAATGGACCCAGGGCTGCAGCAAGCACGCAGCCCCGGAGCCCCTGGCGCAGACCCAGCCATGCACGTGCCGCCAGAACCCGTGGCCAGACACTTGGGAACCACGACCCGCAACTACTTCTGCTTCACCACCGCCACGCTGGCTCTGTGTCTCATCTTCACTGTGGCCACCATCATGGTGCTGGTGGTTCAGAGGACGGTGAGTGGACGGTCTTCCTTGCTTTACCTTCTTGATTGAAGCTCAGCTTCCCCCTCACCCAGAAAAAAAAAGAACTCTGGGAGCAAACTGAACAAAAAGTTTGAAAGAAAAATAAATCAAAGTAGCTATGGGTTGTGTCGGGCAACAAAACGGGAGAAAAGAAACAGGAACTTAGCTCCCTGAAATAATTTGGATTTTTGAGAGAAACTTTATTGGACCATCATCTCAAAACTTTCCAGACCCACATGAGCCAAAAGAGTGGAAAGAGCTATTGGCCTTGAGAAATTAGCATTTAAATCCTGCTGAGCCAGAGATCCATGGGATCGAGGAAGGAAGGAAGCAGCAGGCAGTCGGGAACCCTGGTCTAGAACATTCGCCTGGCTTGGTACTAGGTGATTCCAAGGTTCAATCTTTTCAGCTGAAATGTTCCTGAGGTTTCTGAGACCTCATCCATTGCCCAGGTGATTTTGTTGTTGTTGTTTTTATTTGTTTGTTAACAAGGAGCTAAATGTAGAGGCCAAGTTCTAGAAGGAAGGCAGACAAGCCAGAGAGCTGAGTTGCTGAGCGTGTTGGGCATTTCAGCGTTAAAACCACAGAACAAATCGAAAGCTTCCTTGTAAGCCGCTGCTTTGAGGAGCTGAGGGTGTGATAAGAAACAGCAGAGAACCTGGAGAAATGTTTTTAATACCTGTTCCCCTGAGATGCCCCAGCACATGCTGTGCAGGGTCCAAGTGCCTCGGGAGATTTACTTTGTTTGCAGTAAGTGGTGAAAGATCTGTTCTTGAAAGTGGAAGGGATAAAGGAGAAAGCTCCTTTAAACTTTAGAAATTTGATATCAACTGAGCATCCATTAGTACGTAGCGTACAGAAAATACCACACTGATGGAGGATGTGGCTCACCAATTTTTAAGATTTTGTGTACTTAGGTAGTGTAAGAACTGTACCCACACACATGACATCCTGCCAAAGTGAAACCATGTCTATGACTCCACAACTCCCGCTGTAATGCAATCCTCCAGAATTTGTTCTGGTTTTCCTTCAGCCGTCTCAGGCCAGATGCCCTGTAACTTATCAGTTGCTAAAAGGAACTGGGCTTCAAAAGGCTTTGCCACTTGTTAGTTCTCAAGTGTTACCAAGCTTGGAGATTTAAGTGAAGCTTTGAAGCTCAGATCTCCATAAAAGTGGGAAGAAGGGGATCACTCTGTTTGATTTGGATGGTGGAGTTTGTAAAACTCATCATTTAAGGGGTTTGTTGGCACCAACTAAGAGAAACACTCTTAAAAACATCCTTGGCATTGACTCTACCGTTTTCTGCCATTATAATTTGGAATAAACCAGACATGAGTTGTTTTATAGTAATGGCCAGGGAAAAGAAATTGAAGTGGGCCGGAAGAAGTTCCTTAGGTAAAGATGCTGGTAGAGCTGCTGGGGTATGGGAGGTGGAGATGGTGGGATGCAGGTGGCAGTGGTGATATGTGAAGCCAGAAAGCTCCAGAATATTCTTCATACAAAGCCAACTTGGAGCCATATTGGTTCCTTCTATGAAATGGATGGATCCATTCCTTCTATGCAATGGATCGTTCTGCCTATTTAAAAAAAAAAAATCCAAAATATGGGGAACTTAGAGGGGACAGGGCTTGAGCAGAGCCACCTGAGAGAGCAGTAGAGTCCATGGCTTGTGCTGCATGAGAAGTGGACAGCCAAAGTACTGAAAAGCTTCTGTCACCCTCTTCTCTTGGGGACTTCTTTTTCTGGCACACCTATTTCTTTGGCTTACCCTTCCTGTTCAGGTATGAGAAGGTGCGCTTTGGAATCTGATTCTACGCTGTGATTTCCTAACTATGAAACCTCAGTTACTGGCTTCTGAATCAAGGACTATAATACAGTAGCTGTAATATTGAGTGTTGGATGCCTTACACACGTCATTTCCAATAAACCTCTCAGACATTATCTGTGAGGAGAACTAGGAAAGCTTGACTCCTACGAACCTGAGTGACCAGGGAGGCATCCATAGCAAGAGGGAATGAGGACTGACTTTAGAATCCGGTGGAACTTAGATGAGTGAGAGGCTCAACAGGACCTCTGGGGAAGAAGTCAAAGGAGAAACCTGGGGAGCTCAGATCCCCAGTCCTGTTCCTAACAGAGGAAGAAGCTGGTGGCCACATAGCACTTTCTAAGTAGGCTGGGGACACGGGAATAAAAGCATGAGGATGGCTTTATTGCCATAAGAAATCACAATTCTAGGTCAAAGGGCACATATATGGACCATATTCAGAACAGCTAAGTCATAACATGTAACAAAGCAGGACACAGGTTACCATAAGACCCCAGGTAAGGAGAGAGGGCGTTTCCCCAGCGGGTTTAAGGAAACCTCGCTGGACATGGGAGTTCCAGATCCACTTGAGAAATGAACAATTTCAAATGGGTGGAGAAAAGAGATCTGAGGACAAGCTGCTCCCGGCCAGCGGCAGTGGGTGAGCAAAGGACTGGAGGAGAGAAGTTGTTACAGGGCAGGGGGACGTGGTGTGGCTTGAAAGAGCTCATAAGTTTAAGGTCAAGCTCCATGGGAGAGACAAAGGAGGAATTTAGTTTCAATCACCAATATTTATTGAGCATCTATTCTGTATGGGACATTTTTCTAAGAACTGAATATATAGCCTTGAACAAAACCAACAAAATCCGGCTTTTGCATTGTTTATCAAACTTTCTTTCTAGTGAAGTCTTTAAAATGTCTGTGATTTGCACTTTTCTTTACATACACCAGTACATTTATTACAAAATATTGCATTTACCTCATTTAAGAAAAGTAACCAAAAAATAAGGGAAAAGAAAGAAAAAAAAGTATAAAAGTCTCTGACACCCTCCCAAACCAACCACCCACCCCTTTTTTGCTAGATAACCACCATGAACAGATTCTTATGTGTTCTTCCAAACATCTGAGCATCTACACATGTTATTATAATAAACCGTTGATGCTGTAGCCCACCTTATACACTTGGCAATATATCTTAGGGAACCTTCCACATCAATATGCAGAAGTCCATTTCAATCTGCTCAAAGAGTCACGCAGTATTGTCTTGTACCAATACCTCATAATTTATTTTATCTGCATCTCTTGAGAGACACTTGTCTTTTTTCCTCTAGAATATTTTTGCCCTCTGTGCACACCTACATCTGTTAAATGAATCCCTTGAGGTGGGAATAGAACATGTATTTTCACTTCAATAAATGTTTTCCATCGGCCTCCACAGAAATTGTCCCCGTAGGCTCCCGAGGAAATAGAAGTCTACCACCCAAGAGGCACCTCCTGACATCAATATGGAAAGAAAGAAAATTGATTGATGGGCTGGGACTGGGGCTCAGTGGTAGAGCACTCGCCTAGCATGTGTGAGGCCCTGGGTTCAATACTCAGCACCACATCATAATAAATAAAATAAAGGTATTGTGTTCAACTACAACTAAAAAATAAATAGTAAGAAAATTGATTGATTACTGAGGAAGCCCAAGTGTACACGCAGACAGGGAAGCTGGAAAAGACTGGAAAGTCTAGATGAGATGTTCACACGATTTGTACAGAAAAGCAAAAGAAAAAAGCATCAAATTTCTCTTCTCTCCTCAAGAGCCAATGGAATCCCATGAGATAGTTTCCTAGATTACAGCCGAGGGAGGTACGAACATTTCGGAGTGCCTTGAGACCCTGGACCTGAGGGGTGCCTCTGCTCCCTAAACCAGGAGACAGGACTAGTCCAGCCCCAGGAGAAAATGTAAATGGCCACATTCCAAATGGTAGAGCAAGGGCTTATGACGGTTGGATTTTTAAGTACTGTAGACAATTTCTAGAAAGAGAAAGCAGCGGCCTCCTTTCCCTTTATAAGCAAATATATATACATTTTTTTTGAAAGAAAAATGTAAACTCACAGTTCCCCCCACCATCCACCAAGAGGGAGGCAGAGCACCTGTTCAAGGGTAGCGAATGCCAGCAGCCAGGGTGTGGTTTGGGGAGTTGTTTTTAAACTCAGGAGCAATGCAGAGGTGAGCTAAACATTCCCGACACCGGGATGCTTCCCTTTACCTAATAACTTTCATCTGATATCCTATTCCACTTAAGAATAAAAACACAACATCCTCTGAAATGGTTGTAAGGAGCAACCCAGAAGCCGGGCTGGAGGGAAGGAGCCCTCTGGACACAGCAGCACCCTGACTTCTGGGAACTTTCTGCTAAACCGAGGAAACGAAGCCCAGGAATTTGAGTTCCAGACCAACCAGTGGAGAGGGAGATAATTTCTATTTAGGATTTGGGAGGTGTTTGTAGGAGAACTGAACAAGAAGCCAAGCCTCTGAGAATTAGATCGTGTCTTATGCCCCAAGTCCTATTTTGAAACCTCTCATGCAGATTGGCCAAGTGTCAGTGCTTTGTCACATTTGTGCTATTTAAATATATGAAAGTAAGTTACAGACAGTGTGACCTCTCCCCAGCCCGAGCTCCAGTACCCATCTGCCACTTACCAGTGTCATGACCACTGTCGGAGAGCTCATGGCAACTCATGGATACAGCTCATGTTTACATTTCCCCTCTTGTCCAAAAACCTCGTCTGTAGCTCTTTTGTTCAATTTTATTTGGGGACCTGGCATTCATCCTGGGGTCACATTGTGTTGTCAGCTAGAAGGTTGCTGTTTAATGAGTGGTCCTGGGAGTTTGTTGAAAACATAGACTCTCAGGCCCCACCCAGAACTACTGAATCAAAATCTGAATTTAAAATGTTCCCCAGATGATGCTGTACACAATCATCATGCCCTTTCTTGTTTGTTTTTCATGACACTGATTTTTTTGAAGGGCCCAGGTGAATTTTGTTATAGAACAGTAGATGTTCAGGATTTGTCTGGAATATGAAATATTTCGGCAAGACTAGTACTTCGGTAATGTTGCGTACTTTTTACTGTACCGCGGCTAGAAGCCTAGGTCGGGATGTCCCACATCTGGATGCCCCATTTTTGGTGATGAAGGTGGTAGCCACCAGTCATCTCATTTGTAAAACATTTTTTTCTTCTTTATTAATAAGTAATCTATGGAGTAATGCTTTGAAGACACAAACGTTCTTCACTTGGCAATTGTGTCATTTCTTGATGTCACTTGTCTGAGTCTCTTCATGGGCTGAGGGTGCAGAAGGATGCCCAATTCTCCTTCCTTCTACCTTCTTCTGTAAAGTGGAGCTCTCCATGGGCAGGATGCTGGCAGGCGTAGTGGGCAGGGTATTCTAGATGGGACCAGTGAACAGAGGCACAGCCCAAAGGCAGGCAAAACTGGGTATGAAGAGAGGATTGACGGGGCCAGAACCAGGGTCAGTCCAGACTCAACAGGGAAGCAGCAAGAGACAGAGTAGATGGCAAAAAACAAATAATAAAATAACCTTAACAAAATTAAAAGTACTGATAGAAGATACCAAGAGGCCAGCCTGGCAGCTCCATCCTCAGACAAGAAAGATTTCCTAGACCCATATCTGAACCCCAATCCAGCTCCGTCTCCTAAGGTCCTCTCTCAAGACCACAAGTGTTCTCGCTGCCCATGGAGTAAGATCTTCGAGCCCTTGCTACTCCAGGTGTGGTCCGTGCCCCTCCAACATTGTCATTACCTGGAAACTCACTGGAACTTCAAAAACTAAGGCCCCATCTAGATCTACTGAACCAGAATCCCCAGATGATGGTAATTCCTTGCAAGTGGGAGATGCACTTTTAGCACATTCTGGCCCAATCCCCACTTTCACAGACCATGGAAAACCAGGGACTCTCAAGAAAAATACCCCTGTCCCTGGGGATTTGATATGATTCCATTCACTTTCCCTTTGGATCTTGGAAGCTGTATCCTGCCCTATGAAGCAGAGCAGTACCCTCAAAATAACATATCTGATTTTGGGTCCATCCTCTGCTATTTATCACCTGTTGGACCTTTTGTTTTCATAAAGTCACTTCTGTAAGTTATGGTCAACTCCTAACTCTTGGGGTCAAGGTCAAGGGCAAACAAGATAATGCGTTCTTTCTTAGGAGTAGCCCCCTTAAGTGCTTATTCATGTCAGCTTGAAAATGATAGTGATCCTCGTGGACCATGAGCCAGAGCCCATCTTAGGAGGCAGTGTGAGGCCAGAAGGAAGGGGATATGGAATCCCCCTTATCATATTCCAAACATTAGTTGTCTTTGGTCATTTTCAGTCACAGAGGATATTTTGCGTCAAAAGCAAAATTAGGAGCTGATTGCACCCGTACATCATTGCTCTGTGAAAAGAAATGGGCCTTCTAAGTATTTAGAAAAATTAAGCACCTCAAAAGGCCGTCCCCAAAATAGCCACCACTTTTCAGCAGTTGTTAACACTTGATGTACAACATCTCACTCCAATCCACTGGAGGGAAGGATTACAAGGCACTCTAGCAGAGACAATGGCTGGGAAGGGGGTCATTTCGCCTGGGGACTAACAGGCTCAACATGACCATTCTTTCCTCCATACACACAGAGATCTTAAGTTTTGCTGGGACACCCATGAGACTTCCACAGAGGCTGAAAAAAAATAAAAAATAAAAAGAGGAAGTCTGCTCAAGGCAGCGTAGCAGGTTGGTAACCATGGAGATGGAGTTTCCCGAGCTGTTCAATGGAGCTGAAAATGACAACCGGCAAGGGTTCATTTGGTTATATCTGGGTCAGACCTGTCTTACTCAAAACCGTGTCACTGGTCTGAACAAGATGGCATTTCCTCAGCCAGGAAATCCCTAGGAAAGATTTGGGAGAACACTCCAAGACAAGGGACACCTTGCCAACGAGGAGGGCATGGACAGCACTCAGCGTGGTGCCTTGGGCAGAAACAGCTTCAACAAACATCAACATTCACCATCTCTTTAGACCCCGTCTCCACCTCGAATGTGAGGCAGAGTGCTTGTGCAAGGGGAGAACTGGGAGCATTGAACGTCCCCGTGGTTGGTTTCTGAGGACAGCATCTCTCTTGGGGCAGTGGAAGGTACAGGGGAGAATTTCAGGGCAGGATCTGCCTGCCTCTGGCTCCTGAGCGCCTTGGCCTCCTCCCCTGCCAATCAGCTGGATGGGCTAAGATGTCTAGGTTCATCTGTGGCTTTGATTCCCTAATCTTGTCTCCCACAGGCAGCCAGGGTTGCTGTAGAGATCTTGTGCTGTTCAAAACAGAGAGTCCCACTTGTGTCTTGGGTTCCCCGGGCCCTGGGTGAAGGTTTAAGCAACAGGACCCCCTGCCACACCAAGTTCCCTTTCCTTTGACATTTGCCCGTCTGAAGTTAGGCATCCAGGAAGCCTTCAGATGTCAGAGAAGCAGGCCCTTCCCTGATGCCTCCTTCCTGATCAGCCCTCCTGCTGACATTACCTCTTACAGCCTTGCTGCTCCAACTGTGTTTCATGGGCTAGAAGTGTGGGCATCACCTAGGAGCTTGTCACAAATACTGGATCCCGAGCTCTACCCAAACCTGCTGAACTAGAATTTGCCTTTTAACAAGATCCCAGGGTGATGTGTGCACACATTAAAGTTTGAGAAGCAGTGTCTTTAAGCACTCTGATTTTCTCTTCCATAGCTCTTGCCACCAAGTTGTCTTTCTAATTATATATCTGTGTATCTTAAATGACTGCTTTAATGATTATATCCATAGCGTGTCCTTGGATGACTAACAGCATCTACCACTGGCCAGGTGCTCACCCAGTGTGTGTTGAATGGATGACTCTCTAGCACTCCCCCGCTGGGATGGCTCTGCTGGTTTTGCTCTTCTAACATTCTCTCCTTGACCCTGGATAGGCCCTGGGTGGCTGATGAAGTCAACCATGTTAGCGCCACATTTACATGTAAATGTTTTTCTTCGTTCATTTGCATATCATACTAACCCACAGGCCTGCTTGGCAGTAAGTTAATTGTGTATCAAACTTTGAAATGGTGGTTGTTTTGTCACAGAGGCAACACCAAGGGGAATTTTGTTATGTCAGGTTTTCCTACACTGCATACGTAATTGAGCGACCACAAACAAAAAGCATTCTTAGTTCAATTAAGAGCTTTCAACTAAGGCAAAAAAAAAAAAGGCATAGAATATTTCAGTGGAGACCGAAGAACCTTCCAGACCAAGTTCAACTCCTTTCTGCTGAGAAACTGAGTCACAAAAGTTCAGACTGACTTTCTCCATCCCCAGATCAGTGAGATGCCCAGGCTGTGACTACTAGACACATCCTTGACTCAGCACCACTAGAGTGGGAAAAAGAGATCCATTTGTCATAGAACTAGGTGTCCACGGAAGGCAAATGACTGCATTCCTGAGACATGGTGGCATAAAACACCCTAGACACTTGTACAGCTGCTGAAGTCTTGCTTTGGTAGAATTTAGGAAGTTGTTCCCCCCAATGTTGTTCTCTCTTTCCTTCTGTAGGTCTTTATTAATATTTCAGTTCAATGCACTGCAGGAGATTTCAACTCATGCAGGTGTAAAATGAACAGGATTCTTCAGTCCTTTCTGCAAAAACCTAAGGGGTGTCTCCATGGCTGACAGGGGAAGAAGAGAGGCAGTACAGGGAAAAGTCTCTGAGATGTTCACTGGGGGAGAACGGTGCCTGTCCACTTCTCTGGACTATTAGCTCAGAGCACCTGAACTACGTCTCTCTTTAGCCCCAGCCCAGGGCCAACCTCCTTCAGCAATCTGCTTCTACAAACCTCTTACTTATGTAAACATTTACATAAGTTTATATTTGTTAAATAGTGAATAATATACATTTGAATGCATGTATAATACAAAGTTGTATTTATTTCATATATTTATAAATATTGGTATGTTATAGTAGGACATAAACTTGTAATAAATCCATGAGGGCAGGGACCCAGTTTAATCACGGTGTCTTGGCATATAAACACTCAATTAATTCAAACTTTCCAACCACAAGAGAGAAAGAAATGTGCCTTCCAGGTTTGTTTATAGCATAATTTCACAAATGAATCAAACATGGGAAATAACCACATATTTATACAATTCTCTTGATTGTTCTTATGTTAACCATGGGAAAAAAATTAGTACACGTGGGGTGGGTGAGAAGCGCTGGACTGGCAGGCAAGAGCTCTAATCGTGGTTCCTGAGCCCTGCAATCGTACTGGGTGGCCCTGAGCCAGCCACTCTGTGTCACCTGTTCTGTCCCACGCTTCTTGCCTGGGAAGTGTGGATAGCAGTCCTTGTCTTGCATTTCTGACAGGCAGGTGGTTAAGCAAATGGTAAGAAGCCTGTTGTAAACTAAGTCAGCAGATGGAGTTTTTAAAATGGAAGAGTCAAATGGAGGGGTTCTAATTTGCACGGTACTTTGACAACCACCAAAATGGAAAAGACGGCAACAAATGATTTCAATTGAATGTCGTTCTCATCCTGGGCTTTCCTTTTCTCTCTTCCAGGACTCCGTTCCCAGCCCGCCTGACAACTTCCCCCTCAAAGGAGGTAAGAGCTTGGCATTAGGAGTAAGATTGTCGCAAACCGTCCAGACGACACCATAAGATGCCATCACCCAGCCGAAAGGCTAGGATGGTGCCCACAGGAGAGAGAGTGGGTGCGGGTGGGGCAGCTCAGGGTTGAGCTGGTGCACCTCGATCACCCCCAGGCGGCCCCATCAAGGGTCTCATCCATGGAAGCTCCCACCAGCTCGCCACATTCCCACTAGTGAAAACTGCAACAGACATAGGCCACGGTACAGATGCCAATAGGTTATACAAAGCACTGCTGTGTCTCCAGCTTGAAACCCTACCTTGTGCAAATGGGGGTGTGAATCTCAGTCCCCCAGGGAGCCTCAGCTTCTGGTCTCTTGTATGGAAGTAATAGCACTCACGTCACTGAGGTGCTGGAGAAGCCAATCAGACCCTGTCCGTAAATTGCATAGCACAGCAACCAGCACTAATAATCCTTAAATAACTGGTCATGGTCAAAATTCATAATGAAGTTGAGGATTTGTGCAAATAGACTTTCTCTTCACTCTCTCTTCATTTCCAATCACTGGAATTACTGCCTCTATCAGCCCCAGAGAGGCAACGTGTAGACTTCAGTTAACCCTGAAGATGAAAAGCCTTGAGATCATCTGACTAAGGATTTCACTGCTCTGAGGAGGAAAAGTAAGCCCTGGAGAGGGGAAGTGAAGTGTCCCTAACCCACATGTCCATCCTGTAACCTTAGAACTGGATCGCAAGCACAGCTACATAACCAGAGAAAAAGGAAGAGAGAAAGGGGTGAAGTCATCATAGACACCAGGATAGGGACCTGGGACCGGAGGACACAGATGACCTGAAACAGCTCCTCATGCCACAGTATCACACTTGGAATTTCCTTCAGGATACCCTTGAACTTGTCTTTCACCTAGAGATTTAGAAAGTAGGGGCAAAGGATCCCAGCAGACCAGCATTCTGGATCTGCAGGCATATGAGAAATTACAGCATTGTGAACAGTGTCTCGGTCTTGGCCACAATCACTTAGCATGACGTTCCAATTCCCATAATACCTGTAAATCAATGTAAAAAGGAGCAAGGCAAAGGCAGAGGTAAGAAAGCTTTTTTTTTTTTTTTTTATAAAGATGCACCTAGTAAGTATTTTAGTTTTACGAGCCTCACCATCTCTGCACTTAGCTCTGTGGTTCCAGTAATGAAGCAGTCAGACTGACAGGCAAATGGCCTGGCACTCCCTAAAACATGTTTACATAATGAGGTGATGAGATGGATTTGGCCCACGGAGCTGAGTTTGCTCACCCCTGTAGTGGAAACAGTGCAGGATTTGGAGTGAGAAGCCTCCATTAAATTGTAGCCCGTGTTCCTGTGGAGATTTGCAAAGAAAGAAATACCCTAAGCATGTGTAATCCCTACACCCTGCCCCGGTTCCACCACCACCTCCACCTCCACCCAGATTTTCCAAGCAAAACTGGCTTTCCAATTTTTGAGAGGAAGTAGAGATCTTTAAGATGGACATGGTCTCAAGGGCAAGGGCAGTTTTGATTAGCAATAGGCCTCAGCCATTCCACCACTCAGTTCCCTTACATGTGGACGCTCCAATCACAGCCTTCCAAACCAGGAACCCTGACCAGTGGTTCTGGCCCCACGAGTTTGCCTTAGTCCCCAGGAGAATGGGAAAAAGAAGGACCATTAGCCCCTTCTTGCATGGCCAGTGACATTTAATGAAGGGCACATTTCCTCTGAGAATGAGTCCTTTTCACGTTTTTTTGATGTTCAAAATCCTTTCATTTACAAATACAAGTTCATACAGGTGCAAGTTAACTTGGTTTGTTTTCTGTCAATCATTTGTTTTGCTTTAATGATCATAATAGGCAAAATTTTTTAAAAGCTTCCTGCTTCACACTGGTCTCTGGATTTTCATTTTTGGACGAAATTTCTTTGGTTCATAAAAATCCAAAACTTTGGGAAATGTCGACCAGACTCTTTACTTGGGCCATGATTGGTAATATCAGAATAGGCACTGGTCCAAAACCAACCTCAGTTTACAATTTCATATTTCTGACGCTAGATTTTTAAATATCTAATAATAATCCCCACTGGGGCTGTAACACCTTCTGTACCTCCTTTGCATTGGCTTCTGTCCCAACCCTGAGGGTAAGCAACATGGGGATTAATACACCCATAAATATTCCATGTACCTGTAAAGAACTGAGGCCCAAGGAGTTGGGGCAGTGTGAAGACCATTCAAGGAGTTAGTAGCAGAGCAAGAATGAGAGAATCCAGGGCTTGTCCCCATGTCCCTTGAGATGCCAGGGATCTGCTGAGTGTGGTCTCTGACTCTCTCTGCTTACAATGCTTACAAGTTCACACTTCCCTTAGCTTGGCAAACTACAAACTCTGCAGGAGAGTTGGGTGGAAAGAATTATCACCATGGAGCAAGTCACGGGCTCCAAACCTGGCCTCCACCCCAGCAGTGTGGGTTCTCTGGGCAGGTTTCTCCTACTCTCTAAGCCTCGTCTGTAGTTAAACACAGTGTTCTAAATGAACTGAATGAGTCCTTTCAGCTTGGACACTTTCTGAGATTGTGATTCTCTCATCCAACATGTAAAGATTAAAAAAAAAAATGTCTAACAACTACCTACAGAGAATCTGAAGCCAAGGCCCTTCCCCCAAGAAGCTCTGAAACCAGCACAAGCAGCAAATTGCATGTTTTGGAAAACAAATAAAGCAAAGCAAAACAAAATAACATTTCAAGACATGCCAAGCAGAGGAGAATTATGTTCCAGAAATTTCTGGGAGGAAGCTCCAGGGACACATGAGGCTTGCCGCTAGAGAGGGTGAGGGTGTAAGCTTGCCCTTTGCTATAGTGGGTGTTGGAAATCTTTCACCATAAGCAGGAAACCAGAAGTGGCCAGAGCCTGGGCTGCAGGGCTGTACACACGCCAAAGTAACCTCACACGGGATACGCTTAGCTTCCCAGAAACCACAGAGAACCACAGCTGCTTTGGTAATGAGTCCTAACACAAGCCTCCCATCCCTGGCCATCATAGCCCCAGCCAACTGTCACCTCACACCCACTGCCACTGTGCTTAGGACTCAGGGACCATTCCAGAGGTTCAGGTGGAGCTGGGAGCCAGGAAGAGCCCTGGGAACAGAACCTTGTCCCATGCTCTTCTCCTCTGTAGGTCTTAGTCTGTCATCTAGAAGATGGAGTTAACAATAACTCCTGTACAAAGCTACCTCAAGGGTAGAATGGGACTGCAAATATGCCTGCAGCTGCCACCTGGCTGAGCCTACATCCCAGGCCCGGGGTCCACTCCTCTCTTACACAGTCACATAAATGGCTCATCCCAGACGCATCCTGGAGGCAAGGAAGCTGGGGTAAAGAGACATCCGGGATTTTGCTTCTCTTTGGCCACTTCTGGTTCTGATTTTCTGCTTCCACGAATTGTGAATCGCACCTGTACACGGGATGTGGCATATCTGCCCAAATCACAGAACACAGCCACATTGGCCTTGATTTGCCCAGAGTCCCAACGGCAGCTCACATTTGTGTCTAGAACATCCATGTGAGGCAGGGCAGAAGAGTATTCCAGCCCAGCGCAGCACACCATGCAGAGTTGAATGTGAGACCCTCCATTCTGTAAGACCCCAGCTCTCCAGTCACCAGGAATCCTCCAAGAGCAGCTAGCTCCCCTCCTGTCGGCCCAGTCCCCTGCCACGTGGGCTGCACACTCCTTCCCACCTGTTTTTATATCTTTCTCCCTATTTCTGCACACCCCCCTTCCTCTCACAAAGTCTACAGAAATTTAAATTCTACTGACTTTATTTTGAAGAACAGTTTTGATGCTTTGGGCTCACCCTTAGGCCTTCTCAGGGTTCTCTGGGTCTTTTCATAACAAAACACCTCACTACCCAAAGAGTTCTAGAGGAACCTGCACTAGAGGAATTCTGTAGACAGCCTCCTTGTATTCTCCCACTGCAGCAGTCGGAGGCCCTGACGGAGAAAGTAGTGACATCCATGGTCATCTATGACAGACTAAAATCTGTGCTCATTCACTCCTTCAGACCCCAGGGATAATGATTAGCCCTCTTTTATGTGTAAGGAAATAGGAGCACAGAGAGGGCTACTGAATTAGCCAAGATTTCACAGCAAGCAAGCAGTGGGGCAAGACCTCAAATCCCGCCTGAGCCTTGTGCTTGGCCAGGACTGCATGGTGAAATGCCACACCCCACACACCTGCTTCCCAGCTGTTTCTTCTCATGTGTCTGAAGCATATCCGCTGTTGTTGAGTTCTGGGGCAGAGAGGGCCACTGGGGACATGTGGGTTTGTACAGTGGGGGACTGGGGTGAGTTCATCCTCACTGCCTGTCAGTTGGGAGGGATTTGTCTTTCCTGCAAATACCATAAGGCCTCTATACCCTGGGGTTCCCCAAAGCCCTAAGGAAATTGAACCCGTAGGTAGAACAGATGTGGGTCCTGACTACCCCTTCAGAGCACCCCTACCCTGGCCTGATGTCTGTCTCCCCCTGGAGACAGGCACCAAGGACAGAGAAGTAGACTGGAATCCATATACCTCCCTTCCACTCCCAAGGTCGGAAGTAGCTCATTTTCCTCCGAGAGTCGGATTCCCCATTTCTGAAGTGTAGGTGAAGGGACTGAGCCAGGTGACCAAACATGGGATGGATTTGGCTTCCAGTATCACCTTCCGTAATCAAAGACACATCTTGGGCTTCTTTGACCACATTACTACGCCGACATTGACAGCATTTACAGGGCTCGGCAAGCTACTCTCCTCCCCTCTCCCCCTGCTAAACAGAAAATGTGGACAATAAAAGAGACCAAGAGAGGTTGGCTCCCTAATGAACCACCCAGAAAGAAATAAGGGGAATGAACAGGGGAGGCCACCTTCTCCCCAATACTCAGCTATCTCTGATGCCCTATGGCCAGGATCCAGGTGGCAGCAGCCCCTCCAGGGCGAGGTGGGGGAGCAGCAGCCTCCTCCT